CAGAACAGTTCATCTTCCCAAGTAAGATCCCTCAGGTTACTTAAATTAATAAAGTATTTCCACACATCAGCCCCATTTTAAATCTACTTTCTGTTTCTATAAATTTGCCTTTTCTGGACATTTCACATAATTAGAGTCAGATACCATATAGTCTCTTCTGACTTTACCCAGACTTGTGGAATAAAACTAGAGATTTTCCTTGAGTCTTTAAGGACATCACAAATTTAAGATTTTCCTTGAGTCTTTAAGGACATCACAAATATATATATATACATATATATATATATATATGTATATATATATATTTCAGATAAAATAATAATTATAATATTTATTTAACATCTAAATAAGTTTAGATGTTAAAATTTAAAATCTAAAAAACTAAAAATATTAATCATATTCTCTATGTAAACTCTAAAATTTAAAAACATTAAGAGAAGTATTATATTACAATACTAGAAATGCACAAAAATAATCATTTGTCTATTTCACTTGTTAAAGTAGAAGATGAGATAGCCATTCCCTAAAGCTTCAAATCATTTTAACATTTCAAACCTTTGCATACAATTTGGAACTTTTTTTTTCCTTTTTTAAGGATAGGTATATAGCTTCTCTTTCCAGAAAAAAATTTAAAAATACTACTTTGCACCTGCTGCAGTCTAGATTTGTGATCATTTCTCTCAGTACCTTTAATAGGAATAAGGTAAGAATATCTTGGTTAGTGAGAAGGAGTCCAAGCTTTGCTCATGAAGATGCATCTGTCCAATAACTCATTTCTGCCTGTGCCTCTGAAGTTAGCAAACATGTACATGGTATTTACAGTGGAAAGAAAGACAGGAACACAATCTTTTGACCCAGATATGTTGGATTTAATTATGCTTTTCAATCTACTGTGAATTTTAGTAACATGCATGCTTTCATTACAAAGAGAAAAGAATTCTTCACAGTACTACAGGAATTGCTATTGTTGGCTTTAGGTGATGCAGACAGATTAGCTAGTGCTGTCACTGAATGCAATGAACGTGTCACTAAGCACTTTTGGCTCTGAATTCAATACAAAATATATTGATTGTTGGCTGAGCTCTTACATGATCAAAAATATTTATTCTTTTGCTTTTCTCTTGAAGCCATTCTAATTGTGAGGGAAAGCTTCTAGGGGGGATTAGGGAAACATTGCTCTTGTGATTATGTCTTCAATGCCAATTTTGAACAGTTATAGAAAGACGGGGGAAGAAAAAGTTATTCTGTGAATGACAGTCTAAGAAACCAGCAACAAGTAATAACTGCTATCTAGCTCCTCTCAAAATAAATCACTCCTTTAAGTTTTTATTTTTATAGCCAATATCTAAAGAGCAGGAAAATAGTAAATACTTGTTGATAAAAATTCATGTTTTCATTACATCTCAAGAAGAAGTGAGACAAAAGGAGAAACAGATGGAAACAAGTCAATCTGGAAACCAAATATGGCAAGTTCTGAAACCCATAGAATTCAAATGATCAAAAACAGGCTATTAGCCAAAAACTACTTCTCAAAAGCACTAGAAATCGACCTTTAACCTGCCAGTTGAAAAATCAAAGGACACGTCATCATTCAGGAAATTTCAGTACTGAAAGGATATTTCTTTCCTGGTCTAATCTGTGTTTTTAACTGATAGGGTTCCTCTGCTGCAAACCACACTCTGCGTGTGAAAATACTGATTTCAATAATTGTAAACACAGTGATTTTGTTTGCTTGTTTGTGAAATAAATGAGACTTATCAGATCATAGACCAAACAAAAATGAACGTTGTTGTGTTTTCCCCTGCTTTTTAAAAGAGCAATTAAAAAAAAAAAAAACAAACCCTGAATACTAGGAAAAGCTTAAAAGCTTCAGGACAATTCCTTGAAAAAAGAGTTGGTAAGCCAAAGCAAATATCACATCCAAGAACAGGAGTAAAACAATGTATTCCACACACGCTGCCAACTTCTAAGACTAGGGCATCTAATAAACTTTAAAGGAAAAAAGTGAGAGGACTTAGAGAAAGTGAGGTATGTGCATTTTGTACACACACACACACACACACACACACACACACTTGCATTTATTTTTTAATTTAATATGCACAAACTAGATAATAACTTGTCCTGGTAAGTGACTACAAATGAAAACATCTTCATAAATTCATTTCTGAAGAAATGAAAACCATCATGATACCTATTCTGTTACTGTCAAGATGTATAAAGGACTTAAGATTTATTTTTAGTTAAGTTGATCTGTATGATCTTCAATTGTCTTTTGATAATTTGTCTCATAATTTACCTCACACGGAAGTAGATAAAAAGTAAAATGTAAAGATATCTCTGTAGATATGATAGGTCTGTGGATAGACAGGAAGTTGAACAAGTATTTGCAAGTGGTACAAGTTTAAGTATGAACAATGTGGTTCTAGAAAAGGTTGGCTATAATTCAAAAAGTTGGAAAATCCAAATATGCATCTGTTTTAACTGGGGCTATGCAGTGCTGACCACAAGAACAAATATGGCGAGAGCAATGGTCAGCTATGCTGTCCCTCCTAATCTCACTTGCTGGTTTGTTTCTCAGAAACAAATTCATTCACCAAACCCAAAACTCTTGTTACCTTTAGAAGCATATATTTTTTTCATTTTTAGATTGGATAAATAAAAAAGGATACAAACAAGAAATGTCTGCAATGTTTTTCATCATTTCACTATTTTCATTATTTTCGCATCTACCCTTGCCACCAGCTATGTAAGTCTGGTTTTTAAATTTGGGAGGAAACTTTCAAAAGGCCAGTGCTTTGTATCTGTGCCCCTTATTTCCTTCACTTTTCCTTGCCAAGGCTAACTCCTCCACTGACTGAGCTTCCTCCTCCACTTTCTCTGGACCCCTGCTGTCTCTGGGTTTCCTCCTCCAGGTCTTCCATCTCCAGCAGCTTCCTTCTCTCCACTCACCCTAACAATTGAGCTCACAAACTTGCCTACCTTTCATTCATCACAATATTTTAATTCCTCGACAAAATAAAGAAAACTTAAACAAACAAACAAATAAACAACAACAACAACAAAAACCTCCCAAACACTCCAATTCCAAGTTGTCCTGTAAGCAACAGACCATTCTTCCCCTTTCCTTCAAGAGACAAAGACGAGTTACACCTCCTCATCCCAGTAACCAACAGTGACTTAATGGAAGCTCTTACTCTGCCTTGAACTGACCCAACCTTGCTGGTCTCCCAACCCATCTTACTATTCCCTTTAATCTTTCCTTTTGCGGTCACAGGGTCTTTTATAAAATACAAGTCATTTTCTGGTTTATTTTCCTATCATCATGTCAAGAGGCAAATCCAAACTCCTCAAGGTGGAACAGGACACCGTCTTTCATGATCTGATTGGTTTAGCTTCGTCTCTTAGACCACCTGTATTTTCCCTGCTGGGATATGGATGTGTCCCCCAAGGGCCCCTCCTCCAGTGCACCCTGCAGCTGATGGAAGCACTATTCTCCTAACACATCGACTCTCCATGGTACCCCTCGCCTCTCCCCAGCTCACACCTCCATTCCCTTTCTGTTACCAGCAGGATGAAGCCGAGCTTCTCCTGCCTCCGTTCTTGGGTATTTGCTATATTCTCTGCTTGGAAGCTCTTTCCTTAATCTTCACAGACTCCTTCCTCCTGACATCTCAGCTCAGGCCTTCCCTGACTCTCTGCACTAGAATCGTCAGTCTATTCTATTAACCTGATGTAGCTTCTTAATTCTCTCAGTTATGAAGTCCTCTTACCACACGCAGTTTTCTACTGGGCCTTACAGTCTTCCTCATTAGAATGTCAGGCTCATAGATACAGTGGCCTGGTCAGCTTTGTCCACTGATGTATGTCCTGCCTTAAAGCAGTTCCTGGAACCAGAGGGTTGACTGTCAATCATCACTTCAGTGAATAAAAGACTGACAGCATGCCTTGTAACCTCAGTGGCTTGGGAGACTGAGGCAGGAGGATCATGAGTTCAAAGCCAGCCTGCAAAAGCGAGGCACTGAGCAACTCAGTGAGCTCTTGTCTCTAAATAAAAAATATAAAATACGGCTGAGGATGTGGCTCAGGGGTTGAGTGCTCCTGAGTTCAATCCATGGTGTCAAATAAATAAATAAATAAATAAATAAATAAATAAATAAATAAATGACAGTGCACCTGGCATTCCCAGGACTGGATGACCTGGCCTCCCTCCACGACTCTAGCCTTATCTCCAGCTAATTCCAGTTTGCTATTTCCGATGCGGTCATTATGACTCCTAACGGTGCCTATCTATAATACCCTGGTCTTTTCTCTCTTCCTACTTCATTCGCCTTCATCTTTTGAGATACAGCTTAAGTTCCATCTTTTTTTATAAAGCAATCCAAAGTACTAAGCTCCTTCATTATATTATTTTTGAATGCTTTAAGGCATCTTTAAATTCCATTAGAGATCTCTAATACTTGTAACAATATATATATTTTTTTAAATTTAGAAATAGGTTATCAGTTATCATAAAAGAAAAAATTCTTAAAAGGAAAAATGCTATATGCTGGGAATAAATTAAAATCAAGGCCTTTTTCTTTAAGTATACCAGAGAAGTTTACTTTCGGGTATAATGTGTACAATCATGGTTTAAAAGCAACATTCAAACTGTTATAAGACTTGGTACTAGACAACTCTGATTTCTACTTTGATAGATAATATTTTCACTGAACATTCTATAAAAAGATATCCAAAAAGTAATTCTTGGACTTTATTGGGAGCTCAGCATAGTCCTACTAGCTAATGTGTTTCAATCCAGAAAACAATAGTTTTTATTGCTTCTGTGGTATGAATTATTAGTTAGAAAATCCTCAAAATTTAGAGTGTATCTTAAATGTTTATATTGATCTACAGATTCTGTTGCTACCATGGTCGATATATGCAGACACACCTACATATGTGGGTCTATATATCAGAGCTGATATATTGAATGGTGTAGGGGAAGAAAATTTGCCAACCTGGATACCAACTTGGCACCGCTGTCCTCTGCTGAATTCATGTCATCCAAGCAGGGCTTCCTACGACTTAGCCGCAGGCTGACCTGAGGAACACCGGCAGATGGCTCTGGTTGCAGTACCCTGTGGCCATGAATAGATCCCTCACTCCTGGACTTTGGGATCTAAAAAATAAAATTAAAAAGAAAAAAAAGGGTAGGGTGAGATAGAGAAAGAGAAATTTAAATGTTTTTAAAGTTAAGTTATTGAAGAAAGATAATTTTTTCCAATTTATTCAAAGTCCAATGTATTGATATCACTCCAGAAAAAAAAAATATCAAGCTGCAAGGAATTTAAAATACATACATAAAGATTATTACACAGTAAAGGGTCCATGTAAGGACAGACATCAACATTTCCAGGAGGAACTTTCAAGTGATATATGGACCAAACTACTCTCTGGGATTCTGAAACAAGTCCTCCCCAGACCACCCCTCCTTAGAACAATCTCTCTATATGAAGAGAGAAAACGGCAATGTGTCCGACTGGCAAACCAAAGTGAGGGAAAGAAGTAGTAGTTGGAAAGAGGTGGGGGAAAAAAAGGGCAGTGCTTTAATTTGGATCTGGAATGTTCCCCAAAGACCCATGCATTAAAGGCTTGACCATCAGCTTGGTGCTATTAGAAAGTGGTGGAAACCAGTAAGAGGCAGGGCCTAGCGGGAGGCTTCAGGTCACTGAGTTGTGCCCTCAGAGGGGATTGTAGGACACCCATCTCGTTCTTTTCTTTTTTTGCTTCCCAGTTACTACAAGGTGAACAGCTTGCTCCACCATGCACTCCTGCATTGAGGTATAGCTTCGCCAAAAGTAATGGGGCCAACTACCATGGACTGAAATCTCCAAACTGTGAGGCAAAATAAACTTCTCCTCTTTTAATGTTAACTGTCTCAGGTATTTTGTTATAGTAATGGAAACCTGACTAACACAGGCTGAGAAACATTGAAATATAGGATGTCAGTGTCCGAAGGGTGTCCAGAGATACGTGCTATCATCAAGCAAAATAGACACGAATTTGCCTATAATTTTTAAAAATATTTTTTAGTTATTGATGGACCTTTATTTTATTTATTTATTTATAAGTGGTGCTGAGAATCAAACCCAGTGCCTTACATATGCTGCGTAAGTGCTCTACCACTGAGCCACAGCCCCAGCTTCTGCCTATAAATTTTATTGTGTTTTATTTATTTATTTATTTAGAGACAGGTTCTTACTATGCTGCCCAACCTGTCTTTGAACTTTTCAACTCAGGCAACCCTCCTCCCTCAGGCTTCTAAATAGTTGGGATGACAGGTGTATGCTACCATGACTGATTTGTAAGCCTCTTATGTGTGGCAAAGTGTGGTCTGATAAGCTTCTAAGTAAGGGAATAAATAGGAAAAAATATAATCTTTTAATTGTCTTATATCTCTGGAAGCATAGGCAAGGAATACCAGGTTATATTGACTTCTCAGCACACCTTATGTTATGCTCCTTCCAAACTCCCGAATACTCACAAGCTCTCTGATTTCAGATCAGAAAGAATCTGAATGTAACCTATGTTCTTTACTAAATAATGTAAGATTTAGGACCTTGGATCAGCTATACTTGTTACACTGGAAGTGGTTTGTTATCTGTAGGACTTTCCTCACACTTGGCCTTACACCTGGAATGTCATCTTTTTATTATTACTGGCCACTTACAAACTGCCTAAGACCAAATCTGATCCTAACTTTCTTTGAGGATGAGATAACTCCATTGTCTATGGAGTTGCTCTAACTAACCTCAGGTCTGAATGAGCTTTCCCAGCTCTGGACTCCTGTGACACACCACTGCAACCTACCCTTGATTACCTGTTGCTGGACACCTTACCCTTAGTTGTCACAGGCTTTCAGCACTTATTTTGTCTCAATCATCTCTCAAGAAGGAGACTAAAGCCTGCCTCTCTTCCTATGTCTTCCCTTCTTCCTCCTCTCCCTTTTCTTCCTCTTCTTTTAAATAGTAGTATTATTTTTAACTTTTACCCATATATTATAGCAAAATTTTGGATCCATCAATAAATATTGTCAGACAATATGCTTTTCAACTGTAAGATATTCCCAAGACATTGACTGCCCAAGGAACTAAAATAATATACAAAAAATGTTATATGAGGAACATATTACATGAACATACTTAGTAAATTTATGTCTGCATGAGAAATAGATAATGATATATTAATAAATGCACAAGCATGGTTTGCCTATTAAAAATAAAATTAATTTTAAAAAAGCACTTACACACACCAGAAACATATGAACATAATTTGGCAAAACATTGCATTCAACATAGAACAAAATAAACACTCAATAAAGGCAGGTTTTATTATTGTTGCTATGTAAAATTTGCCCAAAAATGGTTATTGCCAATTTAATTGTTCAGAGAATTTCTCTGTAGAGTGTTCATAAGCTCACAAAGATAAGGAAAGCAAGGAAATATTTTTAAAATTATCTACTTATAAATACATTTCTAGTGGGCTGGGGTCATAGTGCAGTGGTCGAGCATTTACATAGCATGTGTAAGGCACTGGGTTCGATTCTTAGCAATGCTTATAAATAAGTAAAATAAAGGTCCATTGAAACTAAAAATATATTTAAAAAATTTCTACAGTCCATAGAAATATTTGTCAAGGTTATTTTTTTCATTGACAAATAAAAATCGTACTTATTAATCATCCACAACCTATTTTTTAAAAATGTCTTTTTATAATTATTAGCACATTTTAATTGTACAAAATGAAAGGTTTCTTTGTGACATTTTCATACATGCATATAGCATCCTTTGATCATAGCTTCCCTATTATTGTTTTGAAATATTTATATACTGTGGAATGGCTAATTTGAGCTAACTAACATATACATTATTTTACATACTTGCCATTTTTTGTGGCAATAACTCTTAAAATCTACTCTCTTAAGCAATGATCAAGAACAGTAAGATTGGGCAGGGGTTGTGGCTCAGTGGTTGATGGCTTGCCTAGAATGTGTGTGGCCCTGGATTCAATTCTGAGCACCACATATAAACAAATAAATAAAGGTCCATCAATAACTAGAGTGTTATTGATGATATTTTTAATAAAAATATTTTTAAAAAGAATATTAAGAAATATTTTAAAAGAAACTCTTTAAAAGAAATATTCAGATAAACAGCAAAAGAATATGTAAAGTATATTCATTTTCATATCTTTCAGAAAGGTGTTCTTTTTGCACATGACTATTTTTCATAAGAGTAGGTTGAAAAATCCATAAACTATTGAAAAGGCAGTAAGTTTTCAAACTACCTAAAAACATATTTTAGACTTAGTTCTCTCTGTATTGAGTCCCAAGTTTTCCATTCTGTGAATATTTCATTAAAATAGGTTGAAAATAGGTCATTAAAATAGGTTGAAAATCATAATTTTGTGCTTATACATGTTATTGCATTAATATTGATAATAATAATAATAATAATAATAATAATATTTTTGTTACTGGGGACTGGACTGAAACCACGCGTGCTTTACCACTGAGCTACATCCTCAGTCCTTTAAATTTTTTATTTTGAGATAGGGTCTTGCTAAGTTGTTGAGGTCAAGCCTTGCCTCAAACTTGTGATTCTCCTTCCTGAATCTCCTGAGTCACTAGAAATTCAAAAGTGTACCACCGTGCCTGGCTATTACATGATAATATAGCTATACTATTACTATTATTATTATTATGTAATATAGTTACATTATATTATATACTATAACTTTTTACAAGTGTTCCAAATTTGAGACAAACTGGCTTAAAAAAATACAACAGTAATTGCTTGGCATCATTTCATGGTATTAAGGGTTGACATTTTATGGTTAGTTATGATTTATTGAGTTCTAAATTCCATTTGACAGTTTATGTGGAAGTAAAATATTCTAGAGGAAAAAAATGCAGCTTATCCTGTTCTATCAGTTTATAGTAAAATAATCTTCACAGAGAACTCAGTTACCAGCAACTACATCAGTCTGAGTGTAATTTTATGATAATCCAGTTTCTACAGAAATAAAATGCACGAATAAAGCTCATAACCAAGAATTTAAAAGATAAACGTTATTTAATAGATCAAGTTGACAAAAGAACTGAGCTTGTTGGGGCTGGGGTTGTGGTTCAGTGGTAGAGGGCTTGCCTAGCACATGTGAGGCACTGGGATTGATCCTCAGCACCACATGAAAAAAATAAATAAAGATATCGTGTCCATCTACAACTAAAAATATAAAAAACAAACAGAAAAAGAACAACTAAGCTTGGGCATAGAGTATGTCACCTGTTATTTATGAGAGAACAGAACTGTTAGAGAAAAAAAGTAACTCAGTAACTCTTAGATCACTAAAATTGGGAAATTACATGCATGTTTCAGAAGAAAAGCAAACTTGAAAAGATGACTGATATCTTTCTGAAGGTGTACCTTGAAGACTATGGGGACAAAATAATATAATAAAAGTTTAAAACTTGCTGTTTCACTAATGTAATTAATTTTATTTCAAATGCACTGATTTAGGAAAGTCCTTTATTTCAGCTGAAACTGAGCTTTTTAGAAACACCCAATTTGAACCAACATAAATTTGTACTATTCTCTCAGCCTTATAACCCAGGTAGGGGATTTAAAACAACAACAACAACAACAACAACAACAACAACACCAAAACAAATGCTCTTGGATGTTGGTTTCTGGCTCTGTATAGTTTGGTGGCAGTGGACACTTAAACTTGGAGGTGGCACTTGAGGCCCTTTTCATTACTGACCTTTGAGGAGGATGAAACCAGTTAGTCAAAACCACAGCGGGCTTGTGATTATAGTGCAGCTTAAAATGTTGGTTCTCATCTGCAGTTGATTTTGTCTGGAGACAGTTTTGGTTGTGATGGGGGGAGGGTGTGTGCTACATAATCTTAGTAGGTAGTGGCCAGAGTTACCACTAATCATTCTACTGAAGTGCTGGACAGCCTGCATCCATAGTGCTGAAGTTGAGAAGCCCTGTTTCAGAGGGAGCGGTAGGAAGAAACCTGCATAGAGGGAAACTTCATCTCTTTTCTTTTGTTTTCATCTTCCTTTTGCCTTTGAAATGTTAAGACATAATTCATGCAGACCAGCTGTGAACCAAG